AAACTACACCTGGACCATATAAACTACACCTGGACCATAGAAACTACACCTGGACTATAGAAACTACACCTGGACCATAGAAACTACACCTGGACTATAAAAACTACATCTGGACTATAAAAACTACATCTGGACCATAAAAACTACATGTAGTACTGGCTGTCCTCTCCTCTCCTGTGTTCTCTAACCCCAGCCTGTCCAGGCCTATGGCTGTCCATCCTGATCCCAGTTCTGCTGGAAGTTTCTTCCTGTTAAAAGGGAGTTTTTTGTTCCACTGTCGCCAACATGCAGCTCATGATGGGAGGTTGAGACGAAGTGGAGATTCAATACAATCTGCTAATTTCTTAGATAGATAACTTTGACTAATCTGCTTTGGACAATATTATATATATATATATACACAAACTAAATGGAATTTAATTTAATTTACCTGAATTGCTGGCAGTGAAAAGACTCATTCTAAACAGATAAACGGAAGAAAGGAGGCACAAGAGGAAAATTTCAATATGACCCGTGTTTGGGTTTTTACAATCTGAAGGATTCTAAGAACACTTTTAATGTCCAACACAAGCAGAGCCTGGATTTTATGGAAACTAGAAGAATGAAAGACATATTTAGAAACAAACATGATAGATCAGACAAAAAGGGACCCTGATACAGTACTCGAGTGAGTGCTGCTCACTCGAGTGACGCTGGATCAAAGACACAGACGCACGAAGAGACAGGCTCACTGTGGTGCACATGTGTGTTTGTGCTCACCAGAGCCGTGGGATCTCTTCATGTGGTGTTTCATGTTGCTCTTCTGAGTGAAGCTGATGCAGCACACCTCACACTTGAAGGGCTTCTTCCCCGTGTGTTTCACCATGTGGACCTGCAGAGCACTCTTCTGGTTGAAGGCCTTGTCACACTGGCTGCACTTGAAGGGTCGCTCACCTGCAGAACAACAGACCACAGCTGGGTTTGATATGCTGCGGTAGCATATTAGCTGTTTTAGTGCTTATAAACGAAGGTGTCAGTGATCTTCTAAAGCTACTAAATATAGATAAGATGAAAAAAAGATAAACTAGAAGCAACAAGTGGTAAAGCTGTATTTTTGGACCACTGCAGCACATTTCTTTTCTCTCCCCACTGACCAATCAAACTCAAGAAGAGGACAAGATTTGTGACGCAAACGTTATCGACACAGGGGAAGAGAAACTCATTGTTTCAGCCACTGAAGAGAGTTTTTGTAATGAACAACAATCAGCTGTGAAAACAACTCTGACGATGAAGGAACGAGTGATTCAGGCACAAAAACACTCAGGCTGCTCCATCGATACACAACATCCAACAGTCTAACAGAAGAGGAACATCTTGTTTCGTTGCATCTATGTTAAAACACACACACGTGCCCGCACGCATGTGGTCTAAAAACTTGCATTCCTCCAAAGATCATGCGCTTAGATTATGTGTAGGGGATGACTCTCAGCTACTACCACAGCTTATTCTAGCTAAACGTCTGTAAAACCGAGTGTGAAAACTATGTTTGCTAACATCAATTAGCTGTGGTGGCCATCTTGAATCAGGTTGACTACATAGAGAAGAACTCCTGGTAAGCCCCTCCCACTGCAGCACAAACAGAAACAAAACAGAAACAGAACGGTTGGCAGAGAGAACGTTTTCAGTTGATGATGGAGGAAGATCTGGTACTTCTGGTGTTCATCGAGGAGAAACGCCAATTTGTAAATTTGTCTTAAAGAGAACGCTATTGTTTCAGACAGATGGTGCACGTCCCTACGCTGTTCAGGCGAGGACACTCCCTCAGATTCAGCACTGCCACAGGTCTCCTGTGTCTCCACGTCTCCTTCCACAAGTTCTTGACACTTAATAAGATTTATTTGACATGTTTTGCTGGAAAAGTTGTAAAGATGGCTGTATCTTCTAACAGCCTCGGCCAGCTGATCCTCAGCAGAGCAGGAATAACATTAGTGTAGTCCAGCTGAAACACAGAGTTCTGACAAATCATTGTTTTTCTTCTTCTTTCAGCTGCTCCCTTCTTCAGGGGTCGCCACAGCAAACTAACTTGCATGAAGAATTGGTGATTGTTTTTACACAGGATGTCCTTCCTGACACAATCACAGACCACTGAGCCACCACAGCCCTCTGTGTGGAGCAGAGCGCTGCTGTCTAGGGCTCCTGCGGGAGCAGATGGTGAGAGTTAAGGGCCTTGCTCAGGGGCCCAGAGTGGGACAAATGAAGGTGGAGGCAGGTTTGACTGTGTTACCTTTCCCACCCACATTTTGATGTTGTCAGTCCAGGGAGTTGAACCGGCAACTTTCAGATCCCAGGGCCACCTTCTCTAACCTCTGCACCACCACTCACCCTTCTCTGACCAATCACAATACTTGGCACATTTTCTGCAAGACAATAGTTCTGATGGAGGGTTGTGAACAGAACTGGTTCTCAAAGGTGGTGCAAGAAGAAAAATATGTCAGCAAGAAACGATTTCAGCACTCCTGCAGGAATATAAATCAGCCTTAAGCCTGATTCCCAGTCAGGTTCACTCTGACACCTTCATGCAGGTGAGTAAATCATTACTCTGGGGGCCCGGCTTATAAAGACCCTGATGAGTCTCCATGATAAGGGGGGTGTAGTTTAATCTACAGGTGATTCTAGGCATTGGCGTCAGAAGCATTTGTAATGTGGAGGGGACATAGTGGTGGAGGGGTCTGGGGGGGGGGGGGGGTCCTCCCCCAGAACAATTTTAAGAAAGTAGATGCCATTTCTTGCATTCTGGTGTGTTTTAATGGGTTGTTAAATATCTACGTTTACATACATAAGTAAACACTTGATTCAATAACTATTTTAGAGAACATGATACAACAACAAGTAGCCTGACCAACAGCTCTCCTTGTGTGAATAGAGACTGCGGTGAAGGTGGTTTTAGGTTGGATACTCACGTTCTAAAGATTCAGCCAGATGTTTTTTAAAATTTTGACAGTGTTTTTTTAACCACGTCCTGGATGACTGAGAATACACACCAGAACTTAGACCAGGGTGTTTAAGAGAAAATCTAAATTAGATCAGCTTTCACAGCAGTAAATCAACAACAAAATAAGTCAAATTTGTATTTTAGTGTATTATTTTTGTTGCATACCATTCCTTTAATTCAGAAAATTAAACCACACTTTCAAGAGGAGGAACTAATTTTTCCTCCGAAGTCCTGCTCAGCATGTCAGTTTTGTCATCCATTGAATGATTTATGATGATTAATTTCAACACGTGGAGACAAACACTATAGATACTAATTTCATGTTTCAATCGCATTAAAAGCTCCCTTGGTTTAAATCTAAACCTCTAAAAGCTTCATGATAGAGCATGGGTAGAGACGCTGCTAACCACTGAACTCTGTTACGTTTATTTACCTCCAGATGCGTGATGAATAAAAAGATTACATTTAAAATAAGAGCAGATTATGAAACACTTTGTGAGACTCTTTATAAAACCCAGCTTTTGTAAAAAATAATAAGAAAAAGAAAAATCAGATTTGAGCACTAACAGTTTAATATTAATCTCTGAACAATTTACGTGGGTTTTTTTTTTTTTTTTTGGTTAAATGTGTTTGATTAGATTTTATTTAATCCTCAGAAGATTTTATGATTAAAAGTTTGTTCCTGTTTTTAATGAAATGTTGTATTTCTTGTTGACGCGATCGTCCCTGACAAATCCTAAAAATCCTTTGAAAACTTTTTTACTTTGTCAGAATCATTTGAAATGCTCTCATAACATTCCAGAACTGACCCAGTTGAAATCCATTATAAATTCATTTTTTGATCTTTTATTTTTCACATCATTAAATAATGTTCCTTTCAGTAATTATTTTACCTCTACCTCTATTCTTTCTATTTCTATATTAGCTTACAGGTTGCTCTGTGTGGTTGCTTTGCTTTCACATTTCAGGGATGCTGTAAAAATCGTCAAAAGGTGGCAGACCCAGAAAAGTTGCCTCCTTCTGCCGCAGTGCAATCATTCATCTCATTTAACAAAACTGTTTTAGATCTGATGTAAAGAGAAAACACACGTGGGTTGTGCATGAGTAAACATTTGGTATGAAACAGTAAATCCACAAGCTCAACCAGGCGGCTGATAGCGGTCGCCTCGTTTTGGTTTGAGTGAAAACAAAATCTTGTTGGTGAATTAACAAAACAAAGCATTGGAATTTTTCAAAGGTAGAGTTTAGAAAACAAATAAAAAGGTTCCACGGCTGACAGCGTTGGCTCATGTGGGATTGACAGGAAAGCAGAGCCTCCTTGCCGACTATCCGATTGATCTGGAAGGTCAAACTCAGGACTACATTTAAAAAAGGGCATAGCGAGTGTAAAGAACGCCCCCCCCCCCGCCCTTTTTTTCCTTCAGAAAATTGCCACAAAATCATACCTGCACACTCACAAGGATGAAAAATGTGACAAACCTAGTGTCTGTAGTGTGTGTGTGTGCAGATTTTGTGATTTTTAACATGTAAATCAAGCATTCTGGTATACTGTACTCTACTCTGAGAATTTTTTGGGGGGAAAAGACCACATGCTTCTTAGTAAAAAAGACATTTACAAACATATCCTAATTTATTTGGGACACACATATGAAATACGGCGTCAACCAAAAAATAAACAAGTAATACCAGCAGCAAGCCAACCAGAGAAACCAAATATAGCAGAGCATTTTGCTAATAGCAAAAACTTGTGTCTTAAATACGTAGCACAAAGCGAGCAGCACGCAATACAGACGCACTAGCTAAGCTGCTACAGACGTGGCGCTCCGCTTTTCTAATCCCCTCTCCCGTGGGTCGACAACTACCGGCACTTACGCATTGCTAAGCTAGCACTACGTTAGTGCACTAGCTTAGCGCTTACGAGCTAGTGCGAGCTTTGTTGCGAGCTAGGTAGCACAGCTTATGTGGTGCTAGCTTAGCACTATGCAAGTCCAGTCAATGGGTAATTACATCTGCCTGTGACCCTCTTCGGAGTTAGATGATTCACTTAAATGACATATTTTTGCTTGAAATCTGCAAACTTTGTCGAAAAGCGACAAGTTTGCAGGTATGCAAAATACATCCACAATTTTTCACTCAACAGAATTTTTTTTTCTTAAACTGAACTACAATTTTTTTTAAGTCAGTTAGCTATTAGTTATTTAAAGTGGAAACCTCTATTTGATGCTGGCTTCTCCTCATTGGCTCCTTGTTTGTTTTAAATTTGATGTTAAAGTTTTACACGTGACCATGAATGTATTTAAGACTCCTGCAGCCTTATGGGCCCTCCAGATCCCTTAGATCTACTGATCATTTGCTTTTAGTACCACTGGAGGAACTCTAAATCCCTTGAGTGATCAAGAAATTTTAACATCAACTATTTAAAACTTTAACAAGTTAATTCATCACTATAGGCTGAAGTGTGACGTAAAACTAAACAGTAAAGTTACCTAAAAAGATAATTGGTTTAGAGAAATTACACTTTCTACACCAAAAGAAAAACAGATTAGAGAATATTTAAAGAACTTTGGAAACTGGACAGAAATAAATTATTTATAAGTTCTGCAAGTTAAATGTGCAAAAGCTGCAAGTAAGTTTAAAATACCTAAAGTTTGAATTAATTTGTTGAGTAGAAGAAGCAGAACTGTGGTCTTATGCAAGAAACTGTCACATCCTAACCCGCAATTTTTGACCATTTTATTTGTTTTCCTCAGATATGAATATAATCCTGGCAGCTTTTCTTCTGATTTTAATGTCTACCATAACAGGCAGTATTTCAAGAGATTAGTACTTTCTAAAGTGTTTCTCGTTATAAATGCTTTGAAAGCTGCTGCTCTTCAGTAAAACCAAATGATCTCGCCACAAGAACAACTGTAGAGATGTGCTTTGAGCGATCGGATCAACAAAGAACAAGGATTCCTGATTCCTCCTGCAAGAACTGGAGAAAAAGTTAGAACTAGACAGATTAGTTCAGTGGATCTACGAGAAGCTGCAGGAGGAAATGAAGTCGTTTTACCCACACACTAAGTAGCTATGTTTACATACACAACATTTTTTGACCGGATTGAAATGTTTTCAGATTAAATAATTCAAATGTATTGTTTACATGGGCACAATCTGTTCATGACGAGCGTTTACATGCAGCGAGCTTTGTTCTGAGCAGCAGTACTGATGTGTGCAGAGTGGTGTAGTGAACTAAGCCTAAGGTCAGGATTTGACCTTAAGGACCATATGGGACAGAACTTGTTATTTCATTGATTTGCATCCAGAAATACAGGTTGACCCATCCTGAGACTTTCTTTCTTGAATCAATCAAGTAAAAGAAGACTATTCTCTATTATCATTACTATTTTACAAATGTTTGATAATCAAATTGTGTTAGTTCAAACAATGTTTGAATGTTGAAGTGAACTACTCATTTTTATTAATTGTGAAACAGTAATAATGATTCTTAATCCTCATTCAAAGTGAAATCAAGTTGGAATACGTTACAGAGTAATGATTCAATTTCTTGATCGTCTGTTTGAAGTGAGCAAGTGATGGAAGTTGGTCAGAGTTCAAGTTTCGGTCAACTGCAAGTTTACTGAAAAGAAATGTCATGTTTAACTTTTACAGCAAGATACTAGAGAATTGACTCCACGAAGTCTGAAGGTTCTCATGATATCTTTTGTCTGTCCTTAAACAATCTTAATCTTTTCCTTGACTTTTCATAACACCTTACATCACAAAACACACCTCTGTTTTGGTCCATCGACCAATCAGAAACTCTCAAATGAACCGGAAGTGAGCTTTCTTTAAAGGTTGGCACTTCCTAGTTCAAGCTAGTTTTCCAGTTGTTGCAGGAAGTTCTGCAGTTCTGAAACTCAGCAGTTCCAGAGTTCCTGAAGGCTGGAATTCAGGATGCTGTTGAAAAGAGAATCAAACTGAAGAGAAAAGATTTGGGAATTATGAAAGTCTGGCCTGGATGATCTCACGACTCCGGAGGTTTAGCTGTTCTTAAGGAGACGCTGAAAAGTGGCTCGAAGTGGAACTTTACGCCGGAACTGAGATATCTTCAGAAAGGTAAAAGTCGATCTTCACCAAAAGTGTACCGTCGGGATAAGCTGATTTCCAAAGGAGCGTGCATGTTCTGGTTAAAACAGACAAATTCCCTCACATATCTCTCTCAAGATAAACTTCATCTTTCCATCTTTAAAATTCTTCTATCTGCTAAAAATCATTACAGATATTTTTAGAAATGTCTGAAGCAAAGTTTTTCAATCACCGCCGTGTGGTTGACGTCTGCTGTGATTAATAACGTTTGTCGTTCTGCTGGAAGTGAGAAAACAATCGCCGTATTGTTCACTTCCTGTAAAAACTGATTAATAAGCTGTCGTTATTTTCAATTCTTGCCAATTAATGTAAATGTGTGATGTGTTAAACTTGATTATGTTAATAAATGACCCACTGTCTTGGGTGAGTCAAAGATAATTAACGTTTCCGTCCACATTTTATGAAATTCAGGTGCACGTTATTAAACAGTCCAGAAAAATGAAAGAATCCGTTTTAACAGTATGAATATATGTCATGCATATGTTCAACTACAGTGGTAAACTCTCCTTAAAAAAAAAACACAGAAGAAGTTTTACTTCCGGGGTGAACGTAAACAAACCTGAGCACCCAAAATGGACCCGTGACAGGTTTTAATGAAGGTGGAGACGTTACTGCACTCTCTGACTGAGCTACAGGTAATACAGATCATTCTGAGCTCTTTCAAAGTTTCTAGTAGAAATGTTGTCGCTCACCGACCAGTTTTGCTCCCTTGACATGCTAATATTATTAGCATTAGCCAGGTGGAAATGACATAGGTCGCACATGACACAGGTCAGTTTTTCACGATCAGAAAAAAATGAACAGATTAAGCGTTTGCATGCGCACCATTCAGGTTATGAATCGGCGTAAACCACCCGTTTTGTTCTGATCACAAATTATTTTGGATCGTGCTGAATAAACAAGAAATATTTCGAACGGAGTGTTTACATGACGCATTTTTATTCCGAATGGCTGTTTGATCCGATTACTTATGTCCATGTAAACACAGCTGCAGGATTTTATCCAAGGAAAGCTCACCAGCATTCAGATGATTTAGTTTCTAATAAATATTTCTACAAAAAGAAAAACAGACAGTTTTGGATTTGTAAGGAACAATATGCAAGGTTTCAGGTCCAGTAATTCAACCAATAAACTTCACAGCAACTTCGTCATCACAAACATGCCGAAATCTCATCCAGACCCAGACGACCCTGTTTCTAACAGAGAAATCACGAAACCCTTCAAGGTTTGAAAAGTTTTTAATTAAGACTGTCATATGATGAGCAGGATTTATGTTTTCACTGTTTTGGTCAAACCTGGTGAATGAAAAGCTTTCAGAATATGCGTTGGGAATGACTCAGCTACAACTACAGGCAAAGACAATCATACGCAACAGATCTGAGGGGAAGTGCAGCTTTTAGAGACTCAGAGAGAGAGTTGTCGTTCACACCACATGTGGTGCATGTGGTGGAAAGAAATTATGTACATAGGGTCCCAGTTACATCCAACAATTTTACTGAAGGTATGAGTTGAGAGGGTTGAAATAGTACATGTACTGCATATCTGATACAGTACTTAGAAACATCAGCAGCAGCTGCAGCCCTAGTTGACAGAGACAGAATTAATCCCCCTGACAACAACAGGCTGCCTGCTGCTCTTTGTCCCATCTTTTCTCTCACAGACTGAACCCTTCTGGTGTTTTGTCATCACATATAATGAAGCTTAAAACACATTTTCTGCTGCTCCTCCATCTAAAACCTGGCTGCTCTGCCTCAGAGTCCCAGTCTGGAGCCCTGAGCTTAAAGAACCAGCTGCTGATAATAATAATAATTTATCAAACAGCAGGAAGAACGACAGGAACAAGGACCTCGTCTGCTTTACTTTTCTGCTTATTGTTATTTGGACTCTTAGCCTTCATCACACTACAAACGGCTTGACTACATCCTGAAGTCAAAGTTTCTGTTTCAGCACATTAGTCTAAAACTGTCTAAGGTGACAGAAGCATAAATGTAACATTATAAAAATTAAGCATTTAGTCAGAAACACAAACAGGCTGAGTTTTGACTGAAAGCACTGATCACAGTACGCTCAGCTGTCAAACCAACATCTTCTCCCAGATGTGACCCTTTCATGTACACATGTTGTTTGACATGGGTAGGACTGTAGTCAGGGGTCTACAACCTGCGGCTCTGGGGCCACATGTGGACTCTTTGGCTGTTTTCTACAGGCAAGACTCTGCTCTACTCTGGTCAACTAGAAGGAGGAGAAGCAGAAGAAGAAGGAGGAGGAAAAGGAGGAGGAGAAGAAGAAGAAGTGCAATTTTGCACTCAGAGCAAAAACACAAAAGTTGATCAAAAATTAAATTTCAAACCAATAAATGTTTTTAATAGAGTGAACAAGTCATAAATAATGTCCAACATTTGGGTCTAAAATTTTTGCCTCAGATGGAGGAGGTTAAATATCTGGGCATCCTGTTCATGAATGATGATGGAATAGAGCAGGAGATTGATAAACAGATGGGGCCATCAGTAATGAGGGCGTTGCTTCGGTCGGTCATGGTGAAGAAAAAGTTGAGTTCTAAATGCAAAGCTCACTATTTACTGGTCTGTCTACATTCAGCCCCTCATATGTGGTCACGAGGTTTGAATCATGACTGGAAGAACAAGATCCTGGATACCAGTGGCTGAAAGGAGCTTCCTCCATAGGGTGGCCAGGCCTTAGAGACAGAGAGGATGAGGAGTGCGTCATCAGTGCGGAGCTCAGAGTAGAGCTGCTGCTCCTTTGTATTGATAAGGAGTCACATAAGGTGGTTCATCTGATTAGGATGCCTCTCTTTGGAGGTTTTTCGGGCATGTCCCACTGGAAAGAGACACCAGGCCAACCCAAAACTCACTGGAGGGGTTACAGATCCTCTCTGTCTTGGGAACACCTTGGGATCCCCCAGGAGGAACTGGGGAGTACTGCAGGGTAGAGGGAGGTCTGGGTTTCTCTGGGGGAAGGACTGTAAAGGCTGCAGACCACTGATCTTAGTCCGTAAGTGAAAAAGAAAAAATAGACTTAAAAATTAAGCTTTTATGTTCTGTGTTTCTATTAAGTCACTGTACCTAAACTCTAGTTTAATCCATTCAAATTAAGACTTAAAATGCTAATTTAATAGTCTATTTAGTGTTAATGAGGGCTGTAATGCCCAAGTAAATCTGTCTCAGTTCACAAGCTGTTGTTGTAAATTAACATAATAAACACAATTTAATTAACATCCTCTGCCATCCAACACATGCAACCAATATGAGACCCAAGAGGATGAATTATTCAGGTTTTATTAAAACAACCAGCTACTAAGCTTCAGGAAAATGTTTGAGAGAGACACCAGTTAAGAGTAAAAATAAAAAATAAAAATTAGAGCTGATTAGATCCATCAGTAAAACATCAGACCAACTGTAAATATCTGTCATCTTGTAGATTCTGTGGAAGACAAATACGGTAACGACTTGTTTCTTCCCACCTGTGTGTGTTCGGTTGTGTCTCTCCAGCTGACTGCGCTTGGCGAAAGCCTTGGAGCAGGAGGAGCAGCTGAAGACTCTGGGTTTCTGGGAGCTGGGTGAAGGGCCTGGCTGGTGCACTCGTTCATGTTCCTGAGGTGAAGGAAGAAAATATTCAGTTGTCATGGCGTTCCTGTGCAAACGTACAGCTGAGCAGTTTTTGTGCATAATATTAAACAACAGGTCAGTTATACAAAACCTTATACATTTTCAACTCGTCTCCAAGAACTGAGACTGACTAAAGCCAGCATCAACATGGAGGCTGCACAGCTGGAAAGAGTGGTGAAGGCTGCATAGAAGTCTGTTGGAGTCAGCCTCCCCACCATCACAGACAGCTACACCTCCAGATGCAGGAAGAGAGCCACCTGCATCATGAAGGACCCCACTCACCCAGCACACACACTTTTTGCTCTGCTCCCCTTAGGCAGAAGGTTGAGGAGCATTAAGTGCAGAACCACCAGGCTGAGGAACAGCTTTTACCCTGAAGCTGTTAGACTCATGAATCCCTAATGAGAAAAATCACTGTAATGCCACTTTAATTGGAGATTTGACACTTTGTGCTGCTGATTTCTTACCCATAAGCTGCTAAATTCATACCCATCTGCTCATAATAGACTCATGTTCAGGCTGCTGTTTAATACACCATATTATATTATATTATTATTGTTTAGTGTTTAGATCCTTGTAAACGGTTTCTTTTTTTATACTTTATATTTTTGCTATTGTTGGGTGTAACTGGGACCTTGAGTACAACACTATTTTGTTCCACCTCATGTGATGCAAATGACAATAAAAAATCTTGAACCTTAAAAGAGGACTTCTTCAGATGTGAAGGTTGTTGGTATCAGACAGAACTCAGTGTTTCCTCTCTATTACGGGCCTTGGCAGGGTGCTTGTCAGACCGGGGGGGGGGGGTTACGTGACTTATATCATGATGGAGCGCCACTTTATTATTGCTAGGTCAAAGCCACTTATCCTTGTCAACAGTCTCCGCTCCCCAATCGATAACGGAATTGCGATGGGAGGTCATTAGGTTTTGTTGACAGGACAGGGTGCTCTCCTTGGATACTGGTAGGGGAAACACTGGAACTGTCAGATTGGTTCCAAGTTAAATAAAGTGACTGTACATGTTGGCACGCTCCCTGAGCCTCTGCTGATTTAAAGGGGTTTAGATTCTGAAGTGAGGAGAAATTATGCACAATAAATATCTCACATCAGCATTTCTCTGAAGTTTTTGGCCTTGGGAGGGGAGGTGTCAACAAGACTAAGAAAGAAAGTTTATAGAAAAGTATTATACGAAAAGTTTTAAAACTCTGAGGATTAATTTAGAGTGCAGCTTTTCTCACTGCAGTGTATTCTTTGGGACTTGTCAAAGAACCGCCTCCTGTTATTAAAAAAAAGTTCTTAACAGGTTGCAACTATTTTGAATGAATGTACCAGTGATTCAATAAATGATCAAATTTGAAAAATAAATGACACTTTTTGCATTTATTCTGTCTAACCTGTCTGTCTAGTTAGCCTTGTGTTATAAACAATCTCACAGCTTTTTATGTTTAAGAACTTTTAGTGCCAAGAAAGTCCAAAAATGAGAATAAAAAAAAAACAAAAAAAAACAGCTGTCATAATGTGAATGTTTGTCAGTCACAAATCTGATTACAATGATAAAACTCCTAAAACTGACATAGAAATGGTGTTTTCTCCTTTAAATAACTGTGTTACATTCATTATGGTAATATTTTATCTTTATAACACAGGTGGTCATTTAAACTGCACACATTCGCTACTAGCAGACGTTTAGCTGCCCGTGCCAGTCAGCTGTGTCCTAAAGATAACTCTTTCAACTCCTAAACATTTAATGCAAAGTTCAATTTTAGAAACAAAAGTTTTGGGGAAGTAGCAACACGGGGTGGGAGGAGCGGGTGATGATATTTCACTTTGGTGTCTTCCTGCCGCACAGAATTAGTCACGTATGAACTCATAAAGATGTTTATTCTTTTATTACAGCCATGATCTTTATGGGGGGGGCAAGCGGTTCTGTTGGGAGAACCCCTTTGATAATGGTAAGGAAAACACTGATCTCCCTGTTCAGTCGAACTGACAAATGGAGAACTTCTAAGTTCACTTTTCCTGTTAGGAAAACAACAAGCAAGTGAGCTAAAATATAAAGCTGAAAAAGAGGAACAATAAAGATAACAGATGAAAATGTTCAGATATTAAAAAATGCTGTATAATTTATAGTTATGTGTTTTCTACAAATTATACCAGCTTCATTCCTTCAGTTTCTGTGGGACATAAAATATTGCTAATTTTATTGTAGCAGCAGCAACTAACAGAGCACTGAAGAGGCGTGGGGTGCTGACAGGCAGATTTGATTTTAAAGAAAGGCTTCTTGGTTTTCTGTTTCTTACTTTAGATGAAACTGAGAAAGTGCTGGCTCGGCAAAGCAAACCTTGAATTAATAATAAACTTCTTGTTTTCCTCACATTTTGCTGAAGTTTAGGTAACTGTTTTGAGAGTTTTTATGATATTATGGCTCCTCCTTTTGGCTGCACCCTTTAACCCTCAGAAAGTCTTAACATTATGACCACTAAATACATCTTGTATTACCATGTACCGTATACAACACGTTATAATGATATTATAAGTATCATTACACAAACCGGATTCCAAAAAAGTTGGGACTCTAAACAAATTGTGAATAAAAACTGAATGCAATGATGTGGAGATGGCAAATGTCAATATTTTATTTGTAATATAACATAGATGACAGATCAAAAGTTTAATCTGAGTAAATTTAACATTTTAAAGGAAAAATATGTTGATTCAAAATTTCACAGTGTCAACAAATCCCAAAAAAGTTAGGACAAGTAGCAATAAGTGGCTGGCAAAAGGAAATTGAGCATATAACGAACAGCTGGAAGACCAATTAACACTAATTAGGTCAATTGACAACATGATTGGGTATAAAAAGAGCTTCTCAGGGTGTCAGTGTCTCTCAGAAGCCAAGATGTAAAGAGGATCACCAATTCCACCATTGTTGCACAGAAAGATAGTGCAGACAAACGTCACTGCACCTCAAACAGGAATGCCACTGTCAAGGAAATAACAGAATGGGCTCAGGAATACTTCCAGAAAGCATTTGTCAGTGAACACAATCCACCGTGCCATCTGCTGTTGCCAGCTGAAACTCTACAGTGCAAAGAGGAAGCCATTTCTAAGCAAGCTCCACAAGCTCAGACATTTGCACTGAGCCAGGGGTCATTTAAAATGGAGTGTGGCAAAATGGAAGACTGTTCTGTGGTCAGATGAGTCACGATTTGAAGTTCTTTATAGAACACTGGGACACCATGTCATCCGGACCAGAGAGGACAAGGATAGCCCAAGTTGTTATCAACGCTCCGTTCAGAAGCCTGCATCACTGATGGTATGGGGTTGCATGAGCGCTTGTGGCATGGGCAGCTTGCATGTCTGGAAAGGCACCATTAATGCAGAGAACTATGTTCAGGTTCTAGAACAACATATGCTCCCATCTAGACGTCATCTCTTTCAGGGAAGACCCTGCATTTTTCAACACGATAATGCCAGACCACATTCTGCAGCAATCACAACATCATGGCTACGTAGGAGAAGGATCCGGGTACTGAAATGGCCAGCCTGCAGTCCAGATCTTTCACCTATAGAGAAAATTTGGTGCATCATAAAGAGGAAGGTGCGACAAAGAAGGCCCAAGACGATTGAACAGTTAGAGGCCTGTATTAGACATGAATGGGAGAGCATTCCTATTTCTAAACTTGAGAAACTGGTCTCCTCTGTCCCCAGACGTCTGTTGAGTGTTGTAAGAAGGGGGGATGCCACACAGTGGTAAAAATGGACTTGTCCCAACTTTTTTGGGATTTGTTGACGCCATGAAATTTGGAAACAACAGATTTTTCCCTTAAAATGATACATTCTCTCAGTTTAAACTTTTAATCTGTGATTTGTGTTCTATTCTGAATAAAATATTAGATGTTGGCACCTCCACATCATTGCATTCAGTTTTTATTCACAATTTGTTTAGTGTCCCAACTTTTTTGGAATCCGGTTTGTATATGTTGTTTGTTGTTGTGGTTTCTCAGTTTTGTTTTGTTTTTCTTTCCGCAGGTCGGTCTCGAGGCAGACTTCAATGATGCTGATTTTTCTCTTTATCCCTCTCTCTCTCCTCTACTCCTATCTCCTTCTTTACCTTTTAACCCTTCTCCCGCTTTGTTTTCTTCTTTGTTTTTCATCCCTGTGTCCATTACATCTGAAACAAACCCAAAGAAATTCTAATAAAGTTTTATTTATATATCAAGTGGAGCATTAAGGCCAGCCATAATGCGAGTCACAATGCCGGACAGGAAAAGGGATGAAATAAATAAATAAATAAATAAAACTGAGACATGGAACATGGTCCACTCAGACTCAATGTCCTCTGACTCAGCTGGGATTTGGGTAAAGCTCCTCTGGAGGTTTGAGTTGAAGATCTTACTGACGGGTTCTTCTGCCAGGTGTTCTCAGCAAACCCTCACTACACGTTTGAGTCTACCAAGTCTGTCCAGCATCTTACCATGCTGTCTGATCCAACTCACTACCAAGTGGTAATCAGTTGACAGCTCAACCCCCCCCCCCCCCACCCGAGTGTACAAAACAAACAACCGCAAAACAGATGACATGATTACAAAGTCAATCATCAATCTATGACCTAGGACGTCCTGGTGCCAAGTGCACTTATGGATGGACACCCTTATGACATGGTGTTCATGATGGACAAACTATGACTAGTGCAGAAGTCCAACAACAGAACACCGCTCGGGTTCAGATCAGAGAGGCTGTTCCTTCCAGTCACTCCAGGTCACACTGTCATGCTCCACGTGGGGATTGAAGTCCCCTCTCAAGGAAATTGATTCCGGAGTCCATGCTGTGTGTTAAGGTGAGCCCAACCATATCTAGTCGGTACCTCACAAGCTCATGCTCCTTTCCCTCCCAAAGAGGTTACGTTCCATGTCCCAAGAGTCAGCTTTGGTAAGCCAGGGTCAGTGCATCAAAGCCACTGACCATGGCGTCATGCACCCGGCTCATATGGCCCCTCCTGCAGGTGGTGGGCCCACAGGAAGGCTGTATGTAGGGGTTAAACAACTACATATTTTTAAAAGTCAACTTTAACATGATAAAAAGTCGAGTTGACTTCGACTAGTCAATGACGTCATAGGAACGCAAGACGCTATATCCTATTTGCAACAAAAAAAAGTCATTTATTATTTACAACAAAAAAAAACCCAACAACAAAACATTGGTCATATATTTATGCTCCTACCATTTATCATACTGTAAATAAGTCAAAGGAAAAAGGGGGGGGGTTGACTAGTCAACGTGAAATATAAAAACCCGAGAGATGACACAGAATAAACTAGTCGACTAGTTGATTAGTCTATTCAACCCCTAGCTCTGTGTGTGTGTGTGTGTGTGCGCATGTGTAAAATATATTTGGAAATCAACAAATGAGAAATACAGGAGATTTTTAACTCTCTTGGCTGGAAATGATAATAAATTGATAGCAAAAATGATAAATAGTGCTTAAAATAAAATAAAAACACAAAACCTCCCAGATGATTCAGACTGGGACAAAAGGTTCACGTTTGAGGATTTCAACACTGCAGTAGCAACACTTCAGTGGTTTAAGGTGGATTATTTTATGTCTTAGAGTGGCCCGCCCAGTAGACTGGTCACCATCAGAACGGCCTAGAAGATCAAGTTGTCTTCTTTTTTTATCTTTTTTGCTTCATGCATGGCTGAAATGTTTTGCAAATGTGAAGTCAAAATTGTGTTCAATAATCAAAACAATCTTCTAAAAAAATCTATTTGAAGTTTAAGTTGTAAGGCAACACAATAAGGAAAATGACGATGAATGAAGTGTTATTTCTGTTTCCAGGTACCGTATTTTTCGGCCTATAAGTCGCAGTTTTTTTGTACATAATTTACATGCCCTGTGGCTTATAGGCTGAAGCGACGGATTTATGGATTTTTTCCCATATTTATAAACCAATTTTTGGCTGAGATATGACTGTTTTCATTCATTCTGAATGAAAATATTGAACACTAACATTTTCAACCACTAGATGGCAGCAGAGTAGTAGTAGTAATAGTAAGGCATGCTGTTGTATCATGTAATAGGTAAACTTGGCTATAATAACAAATTCAAAAAAGTTCAAGACAAAAACAACTGGACTTTATTTACTTTACTTTATACTTTATTGTTTTTGTCTTGAACTTTTTTGAAGTTACCATGTCCTGGATGACTGGGTCATTAATAGCTGGTGAATATTCTCAATCGGCTTGCAACAGTACCCCCACCTTGCTTCTGCTCGCTGCTTGGAGCAACCCCGTCAAACCAGCTGCATCGCCCCGGCGAAATGCAGCTAATTTGACCATTAAAGAGCATTTATTAAGTAAAAGTTCAACTGAGACACACGTTTACTATAATTTTGAGCAAATAAATAATTGTTTTTAAGTGTTAATCTTGTTAAAGTCCTCCCGCTCATCCTCCCAAGGCCGCCAATTGGCAGCCAATCGATTTTTGGTACAACTTCGGCCCACATTTCCGGGTTCGGCCCACATTTCCGGGTTGTCAGCGGTGACTTGTAACAAACGCGATGCGTTAGTGGTAATGCATAATAGATGCGACGTATACGGTGAAGCGACATATTTATGGGTTTTTCAACTTTTTTAGACATATTTGGACTGATGCAACTTATAGGGTGGTGCGATGGGTAGGGCAGAAAATACGGTACTATAAACGTTTCTTAAACAAACACAAAAGCACAATTAAACCATTAGAAAAAGCCTATTTACAAAGCCCTTCCATTATATCAGAAAAGTTTTCAACTATTGAGATTTCTGGTGTGTCTAAAAAAGTTAAATCTGGTCCTCTGGACATTCAAAAAAACAAAACAAAGCAAATCAACAAAAAAATGTAGAAACGTTTCGTCTCCCATCCGAGAGACTTCCTCAGTCTGAGGAGCTGTTTTCAGCTCAGTCTCTTAAATAGCACCTTCTCAGAGTGGATCAACCAGTTTTGCTGCTGACAACCAAAACCAGCTGATCACATGCTCAAGAAGGACCATCAGCCTAACAATGGATCATTAGCACACTGATGGCTGTTTACTGTTCACAGAGGGCTGAGTGATACTAGCAATCACAGCATTGTAAGGGGGGACAGTTGAACCCGGAGGCCTCCACCCCTGTTTAATGATGGACGATTTCTTTTCACAAAGATGGCCTCCTTTACTCCTCTCTCAAACCATCGTTCCTCTCTGTCCAGGATGTGAACATCTTCATCCCTGAAAGAGTGACCGCTGGCCTGGAGATGAGTGTAGACCGCAGAGTCCTGGCCTGATGATGTTGATCTTCTGTGCTGGGCCATCCTTTTGGCCAGTGGCTGTTTTGTTTCCCCGATGTAAGACTGATCACAGCCCTCCTGACACTGAACAGCATACACAACATTACTCTGTTTGTGCCGGGGGACTGGATCTTTGGGATGAACCAGTCTTTGCCGTAATGTATTTTGGGGTTTAAAAGCCACTGGGACGTTATGTTTAGAAAATAAACGTCTCAGTTTCTCTGATACTCCCTCAACATATGGAATGACCACTGGTCTGGGTCTGGGTTCCTCCTTTTCACCTGTTGGCTGACTGGAGTCCTGTTTGGGTTTCTTCTCTGCTTTCAGGAAGGCCCAGTTAGGATATCCACATTGCTCTAGAGCCTGTCTTGTGTGGGATTTCTCCTTCTGCCTGGCTCCTGAGCTAGTGGGGATGCTGTCTGCTCTGTGATATAGAGTCCTGATGACTCCTAACTTGTGCTCCAAAGGGTGATGGGAGTCAAACTGCAAATACTGGTCTGTGTGGGTGGGTTTGTGGTACACCTCAGTTTGCAAATGTCCTCTATCAGAGACTGAGACTTCACAGTCCAAGAAAGCCAACTTGCCATTTTTTACATCTTCTCCTGTGAACTTGATGTATTTATCCACAGAGTTGATGTGGTCAGTAAAATGTTGGACTTCCTGAGATTTGATTTTAACCCAGGTGTCGTCAACATACCTGAACCAATGACTTGGTGGTGTCCCTGAAAAGGACGTCAAGGCTCTCTTTTCTACCTCCTCCATGTACAGGTTGGCAACAATAGGAGAAACTGGAAACCCCATAGCACACCCATGTTTCTGCCTATAATATTGCTCCCCATATGTGAAGTAGGTTGACTGCAGGCACAGTTTCAAGAGTTGACACAGTTGTTCTGTGGAAAGCGTGGTCCTGCTGCTCAGAGTGGTGTCTGATTTTAATCTTAAACTGACCACCTCTACTGCATCATCAACAGGAATGCACGTAAAGAGTGATGTGACATCAAAAGAGACCATTGTTCCGTCAGTCTCCATGATGACATCCCTCACCTTGTCCACAAAGTCCATGGTGTTCTGTATGTGGTGTTCGGAGCTGCCAACTAAAGGGTTGAGTACAGACGCTTTGTTTTGTTTTTTTGAATGTCCAGAGGACCAGATTTAACTTTTTTAGATTTTTCTACCTGGATTATTGAGCATGCATCAAGATATTTCTGGTGTGTATTCTTCACCGGACAAGAAGTCTAACAAATGCGAGCAGCTTTTCAAGCTGTCAATATTCCCGAACCCATGCTAAAAATAACTAAAACAACTAAAACTGTCACTCATTTGTCAATGTTCCCAACTTAAACAACCATTGATTTGGGTGTTCTGGCTATGAATGGCCAAATTATTATCCACAGCCTAATAAAAATGAAAAATAACTACCCTTCTAATTTACCGTTCTCACAAATCATGAGTCTGTGTTTTAGATGGAGACTAATGAACAGGCCGGGGACCTGAATGGGAACGAGCTCAGTCACTCCCACTGTCACATCCACCTAATCCCAGATTCATTAGTCATAGAGAAAAGCAAGCACAGCTCAGTGTGGTGGAGCACATTTACAGAGACAAAAACCTTTTGAGTAGAAAACGACATATGGAGGAGAAGCTCAAGTGTGAACCATGTCCTCCTCCTTTCAGGCTCTTAAGCTTCTACCAGATGAAGAGGACTGGTGGAAAAGAGAAGCACACATGCTATCTGTCACAGCTGGCTGCAGAACACTGCCTGACTTCAGTGTTCCCTCATCAAGAGAAACAGTTCGAGTCAGTCTTCATGCCACGTTTGCTTTGTATCTAGAGTGTTTTAGCTGAACATTTCTGCTTTGAGCTCTCACAACCTACTTCCATAAAACCTCAGCAGATAAATGAATGATACCATTCAAATGAATATCAGCATAAACTAAAATCCACAATTCAAGGCATTCTTCATTAGTTTGCTGTTCCGGTTCTGACCTTGAGGTGCGTGGCTCTTTTGAAGGCCTTGTTACAGACGCTGCAGACATGACAGCGGTCGTTGCCGTGTGTTTGTTTGCAGTGGCGTCGCAGTGAATTGGCGTTCTCGCACACCTGATCGCAGTAGAAGCAATGGTTCCGGTTCTCACTCTCTGAATAGGGGTCCTTCTCACCTTTATCACCAAGATTCTGTATTTTGGACAAAACAAAACAGATTTGTTAGGTTTACAGCTAATAGCTGGATACACAGTTTGGTGCTGTTCCTTGATGGTCTTTATTTTCTTGTTTATTTTAAACCTATGTTCAATTCAAACAAAAACTGTTTTACCTTTATTATTTGAAGATACGTTGCTTTTCCACCTAAGAGCTTTCTTAATTCAAACTTTTAAAAAAATGTAGTTTCAAACATTTAAACTCTAATAAGAGGCACTGATCTGTGAGCTGCACTCATAAAAATCACTCTTCATCACCTTCTTTCTGAGGGTCATTAGAGTCTTTGTCAGCCTGGATCACATGAAAGACATTTAGGTCCCATGCATGAAGGTATGAGTTTGTATGAAACAGATGTGTTAGGGATAAGACTGCAAAGACCTCCTCCTCGGTTTGATGTTGGTCTTTCTCATTTGACAAAGACAGATTCTCCTGATCCTGTCTCTAACCTTCAACCACCGTTGTCCAAAACAAAAACAAAACCTACAGTTACTGTTCTCAAAAGAGTCTCAAAGTACAACACCCATCATTACAGTCCCAAGTGCTCTGAAGGGGTAATCACTGTCATAGAATACGATGGTTATTTGTTTTTCACATTAGGGCCACGCAAGTGTTAAAAACAACAAACCATGCCAAGGATCGGGCAGAAGTGTGGCGCTTGGCGCACTATTCTGCTGTTACCTCTTCTAAAACAATTACAGTAGTCTCTCACTACTTCGTGGTTCTACCTTCACAGACTCGTTCTTTCACTGTTTTTCAAAGTAAGATTGGACATGACACACAATTGGCTGATTGATGGATGAGCCGCAAGATCAGCATGGAATTTTTATTTAAAATTATTTTAAATTATTTAGCACCTGCTGCACCTGTGTGCAGTCCACATGTGCAGGGAGAAGCTCCCTCCTGCAGCTTGTGGATCTCCGCTCTGCAGCGGAGAAGTGGGCGTGGCCAAGAGCGGGGCAGGTTTGGCAGAGAGCAGAGATCATGACATTCTCTGCCATTTTAGAGCGTTTGGAGTTTAAAAACATTGCTTAGAATATTGCAAGAGTGTGGGAAGGGTTTAAAACTCCTGTATGTATGTATATATATATATATATATATATATATATATATATATATATATATAT